CTTGGTTAAATAATCTAATATTATTATAATTATTATCAGTGGATTATCATGAGTCATAACTAGATTGCAACGTATAGTATAAGTTTAATAGAAAATAAATGTTCTCTAATCTATAAATTCAGATGTATAATTTCAATTGTTCTAAACCAATTATATAGAATTCTTTACGAATACAACAAATTATATTTTTAATAAGACATAAATTAATGTAAAGAGATTATAATAAAATATTTAAACAATTATAAATAACATTGAACTTAAATTGCAGTGAGGTAAAAAGTAACGTTATTAAACTATAATTTTGTTTTTATTTCAMATTTATTAAGTTTAAAAATTATTCTAATGTGTTTTATTTTTATAAAGTAGTTTTTGCAATTTATAGAACTTAAATAAATCTTTGTAAGATTTGTTTTTAATGAAATAAATTATTTTGRTGTTCAAAAAATAATTGTTATTCGTAAAAATTTGCTTTCACTGAATACTCACGTGTGCACATTACATAATTTTCAAGATATTTTGGTCCTTTTTTAACTCAATGAACATTTTGTATTTTAGCCTTGATTCAATTTTTGTTCGATTTATGTATTTTATTATATTATTAATATTATACATATTTGTTTWTAAGTCAAAAAAGTTGGAAATTTAATTTATATTAATAATATTTTGTTTTTACAGCAATTTCATAATATCAAAAATAAATTATAATTAAGACCTTTATAAGTTACTGATGACCATTTGAAATTCAAATTTTGACAAATTTGGACAGTAAAGTTTTATCTCCTTTAAATAAAGAACAGCTACAATTGTAAATGGAAATTGCCCAATTTACCAAAAAACAGTAAAAACATGCAACAAATTTTTGTTTTTGAACACGTTTTAGTATGCTATGAATCTGTTGCTAATTCTGMTGTAATTTAAAAGTATAGAAACAAAATATTCAAAACTTGAAATATTATGACTTATGAGTTTCAACTTTTCAAGTCTATTGCCTATATTATAATGTTATAAAATAATAATACAGAACTTTCTATCATTATTAATATTGTCTTGTATGATAATTTTATATAGACATGCAGTTTATTTGCATGTRATTGTTTGGTTTCACTTTCAATACAAATACAAACTACTTCCGTTAAAATATTGTATAGAACGTTTTATTTATTTTCACGTCCGTCCGTCCGTCAAAAAAAAAAACATACATACATTTTACAATAATAATAACCGTAATGTGCTCCAACAATAGGCAGGCATCACACATTTTTGGTGAACATTTTGTTTATATGAAATTCATCACGCGAAGGGTTGACATTAAAACATTATTATAACAATGTAACTATTCTAAAAATATATATTATACGCATGTACTATATATATTTATATATTATACATTTTATGATATACATATATTATATAATATAATATTATAATTTGTTACACAATGTAAAAGTTTACAAACACCGAAAACAACACAAACATTATTATATTATTTATTTCGAGTAATTTTTTCCATTCTGTCTTGGCGTTGTTATTAATTTATTAATTATTTTTATACAGTATTATATTTTATGTCCCTGAATTCTGATACAATCACAGTAAAAAACAAGTGTGCGACAACAATGCGCTTGTTTAAAATTTTAAAAACTTAACACCATATCCATTWAAAMAAAAAAAAAAAAAACATAAAATATCTTCTTAGTAGAATGTCTAAATATTTGTCAAAAAAAATTATAATAATATAGGTAAGTAGTTTTTTGTAAATAAAATAGCTCAAATAACGAATGGTGGAAACTAATAAATTGAATTGTTGAATATTTAGATACATTTTTAGGAAACTCATATTTTGACTGTTATATGGAAGCAATAATTTATTTTATTATTTATACACTTAATACTTTTAATGGAAATCATACGTTTAATTAGGTACATAGTACAATTTTTATTTCACAAAGGTTATTTGATTTTAATATAAATCGAGAGTATATTAATTTTTAATGTCCTACGAAGAGTCACTAGATACAATTTAGAAATAATGTTATTTTGTTTAAAAATGAAAAATAATAATTCTGGGTTAAGTTTACCATMTATTGTTTTAGGTTTATAGATATATAGTGTATCAAATGTATCAGGTGTATGAGATATGATAAAATATGTGATGTGAGTCACCAGATAGTCACCAGATCAGTCACCATGATAATCGTATTCCGGAAATCGTTGATTTTTTGACAGTAAGATCTATAGGCGGTCCTACGGGTGCAGCCACTGCAGCCTGTGCAGCACCTGACATTTCAACCGCCTTCCACGTTTTTTTTTTTATCAGTTGACATAATAATATTAATTATAATTATTCATAACTGTTTAWAAAATTAAATAAGATTTAAAATTCCAAGTAGAAAAATGGAATAAAATGTTTATTTGTGTGTGTGTATGTATGTATTTATATRTGTGGTAATGATATTGGGAATTTGGGAYATAAGTTCATACTTATGTGTATACTATAATTTAATGTGCTGCACCTGATGTAAATTCCTGGGACCGCATATGGTAAGATCAATAACATATCGATGTGAAAATTTTACCATAGTGGCATAATATGAAGTATTTATCGTTTTAGAGAAAAAAAAACAATCTAAATTGGTATATAAAACTATATCTACAGGACATAATTTTTGATGGAAGGATTTTATCACGTTAAAAAAGCATTAAGTGTTTTTATTTTAAATTGAGATTTCGGCCAGTTGAAATGTTTTTCAAATAATCAGTTGTGAACACGCAATTGTGGAAATTAATTCGGCGCACAAGTCTAAATCCTTATGAGATTAATAAAACGTATTTAAACCGATGAGACTTCAGAACTATTGTAAAAATATGTATATTATTATTATTATATTGTCGTAACTGAGAGCCTGGCGGGTAAAACTTCGACTGACTTAAATCTTAATGTCATAATGATGATCAATGATTTCAATATATTAATAATTAATTCAACTGATCTATGTTTCGAGTATAATAAGTTGGAAGTTAAATTAAAACTGCCTGAAAAGCACACACTGAATTATCGGGTAAACGTAGTTACCATAGATAAATTATTTACACATATATTATACGAACGTTAACACTTCACACTCTTAATTATTATAAGTTTATACGCCTTATACGGTTTAGATTATTTTTATTATTATAATTGTTAGATTGTATAATATGATCATTTTGTTTTAAAACAACCATATAACATAAATACCATGCRATTTAAAGTATTCACATAGGTCATAAACGCGAAAATAATATAATATAAACAGTTGAAAACTTGATTGTTTCTTAAATATTATTATTATTAATATTAATTTAAATTTATAATATAATTACTTATTATTTTATTATTATTATATTATTATAAATAGCCAATATTA